GATAGGAAAGGTGGGTTTCTTTGTAGGGAACATCCCGCTGCTTCCCAAGGGGCTGTTGTCCCACTCGGAGCGCTGGGAGGGCTCCGGTCATTCCCAGTGGAAAAGGTGTCCGAGAAATCCTGGTTAAGCTTGTCCTGGGGTTTCTGGGATCCCCCAGATGGAATGGTCCATGGAATGGACCAATGAATGGACAGTGGTCCATGGAATTGTCCATGGAATGGTCCAATGAATGGACAGTGGTCCATGGAATTGTCCATGGAATGGTCCAATGAATGGACAATGCTCCATAGAATGGACTAATGCATGGACAGTGGTCCATGGAATGGACAATGGTCCATGGAATGGACCATGGAATGGACCAATGAATGGAGAGTGGTCCATGGAATTGTCCATGGAAGGGACTAAAGCATGGACAGTGGTCCATGGTTGAGCGCTGGGAGGGCTCCGGTCATTCCCGGTAGAAAAGGGGTCTGAGAAATCCCGGTTAAGCTCGCCCTGGGGTTTCTGGGATCCCCCAGATGGAATGGTCCATGGAATGGGCCAATGAATGGACAACGGTCCATGGAATGGACCATTGAATGGACCAATGAATGGACAATAGTCCATGGAATGGACTAATGCATGGACAGTGGTCCATGGAATGGACAATGGTCCATGGAATGGTCCATGGAATGGACCATGGAATGGGTCAATGAATGGACAATGGACCATGGAATGGTCCTTGGAATGGACCATGGAATGGTTGCCCATTCCCTGAAGCTTTTCCAAGCAGGGATCTCTCTGCTCGCACTCATGTTCCCAGGACCAAATTGTATTCCCTATGTTGGGAATTGTCCCACCCGGGATGGGACCCTGTGTTTCCTAAAGGAATTTTTCCCTCCCTCCGGCAGCGCTGGTGACGCTGGATCCCGACACGGCCAACGCGCGGCTCCTCCTGGCCCGGGATCGCTGCGGAGCCACCTGGACCCGCATCCAGCAGGATCTGCCCCCCAAATCCCAGCGTTTCCACCCATCCTGCTGCGTTTTGGGCTCCCGGGGCTTCTCCAAGGGGCGGCACCGCTGGGAGGTGGCACTTGGGGACAGGGGCGCTTGGGCCATCGGGGTGGCCCGCGAGTCCGTGCGCAGGACGGGCTGGGTGGCCCTGGTCCCCCACGAGGGCATTTGGGCCCTGGGGCTTTTCGGGAACCGCTACCGGGTCTTCACCTCTCCCGCAACCTCCCTTCCCGCTCCCGGGAAATCCAGCAGGATCCAGGTGTCCCTGGACTATGGGAGGGGACAAGTGGCGTTTTATCTCCCCGGGGAAAAAAATCCCATTTTCACCTTCCAAAACGCTGGATTTGGAGGGGAGAGGATCTTTCCTTTCTTCTGGGTGGGCAGAGGGTGCCATCTCCGCCTCTGAGCATCACCCGGATGCTGGATGGGGAATTCCAGATGATCCCAAATCCCCGGGGACAGCAGGATCCAGGGATCGTCTGGCTGCAGCGCTGGGCACAGGAGCAAGATGCCCTCAAGTACAACCAGGGCTGCGCACGCGCCAATTTTGTTTATTTATTTTTCTTTTTGTGACATAATATTTGCGGGATAATCTCTTGCAAGAAATCTCGTGAAAAAAAAAATACAAAAATTCATGGAATATTTCCAAAAATACATGGAAAAAAATACAAATTTCTCTCGTCCTTTCACGCTATTCCTGGGGATGCAGAAAGGGTCCTGGTCCCAGGACTGTCCTGGGGACCAACCTCCTCGTGCACCAGCGCGTGCACAGGACGAACGGGCTCAGCGAATGCCGGACGTGCGAAAAAACCTTCCAATCCCGCTCGGATCCCAGCGCCAAGCGGAGCCGGACGCCGGAGGAGACCCCTCTGCAGTGCCCCGAATGTGCCAAGTGTCCCCAGGAGGGATCAGAGCCCCTTGAACATCCAAGATGATGCAGAGGGTGGGGGAAATGTGGCAAAGAGCTGCAGGGAGGGCATGAGGAGAGCGGTGGAAGACTGCTGACTTCCCCTGGGATCCCACTGCTAGATACAAGTTCAAATACAAATTCATGTTCAGATACAAATTCACTGGAACAGGCTGCCCAGAGAGGTTGTGGAGTCTCCTTCTCTGGAGATCTTCAAAACCCGCTTGGACGCAGTCCTGTGCCACGTGCTCTAGGTGACCCTGCGTGTGCAGGGGCTGGACTAGATGATCTCTAGAGGTCCCTTCCAACCCTAAGCATTCTATGATTCTATGATACAAGTCTCCTGTGCTTGGGAGGAGTCTCAGGGCTGTAGAGGAAGCAAAGAGCCCTGCCCATGGGCCGAGCCAGGAGCACCCGTCCTCTCCCTTCATTGGGCAAATCGCCTGGAGCAAACAACCCGGGAGACAAAGTTTGGAGCTGGGTACTCCCTTAGACCTTGTGCAGCTCCAACACGTCTGGTGAGTGACTCCTCTCTCTGCAAAAATGCTCTTAAAATCAACTCTATCCCTTTCTCTTGCTCCCTTCCCTCCTTTGGAATCGTGTCCTGCTCCATGCAGGGTCCATCCACCTCCTTTGCTGCCTGTTCCCACTTTGTGGAGAAGAAGTTGGGTTGGCTGCTCCTTCCTGGTGGGAAATTCCTGAGTCTTTGTCCTGGAGAAGAACTTCCCCTTGGTCTCCATGGCCCCTCTCCTCATTTTTCCTTTTCCCTGTGTCCTCTCCAGGTAGACTCTCCGAGGAGATGCTGTTTCCCCTGGGCTCAGCTTGCCCCCTTCTCACCAGCCACCTGCGGATCTTCCTGTGCTGTTTTGTGGTCCTCCACGTTCTCCATGTGGGATCAGGTGGGAATGTCGCTGGTGCGGCACAAGGGTCTTGCCCGGCTGTGGCTGTCAGATTGGGGTCTCCATGATCAGGAATCTGGGGCGATCGGGGCAGGGAGGAGGTTGTGGGGAAGAGAAGTGTCCGTGGAGTTTCGCCCCATCTGGGCTTTCACTTTCATTTTTGCTCTCGCATGGATGACATGGGGGTTGGGGCAGCTTCTCAGTCTTGTCCTTCAACAGCTTCTTGAGTTTTTTATGAGCATGATGAGGAGGAGGTGGAGAGCCCTATGCAGGATGATCCCAACTCCAGAGGGGTCAGGACAAGCTTTGCAGGGAACCTTATTCTCACCTGAGTCCTCCCCAACCTTCTCCAGTGTCTTTGTTTTTCCCTTCTGTGGGCACCCAAACACTCACCCCCAAATCATCATCCTTCAGCCCAAACCATTCATCCTACCTATGCAAAAATCAGTGTGTGTCTGCTTTTCCTGTGTCCTTCTCCACTCACAGCCCAGCTGAAGGTGGTGGGACCCGGCCGCCCTCTCGATGCCACCGTGGGGGAAGAGGTTGTGCTGCCCTGTCAGCTCTCCCCTGCCTTGAATGCTCAGACCATGACTGTCAGGTGGATCCGCCATCGCATATCTGAAACGGTGCATCTCTACCATGGTGGAGAGGACCTGTATTTGGAGCAGATGAGAGAATATCGAGGGAGGACAGATTTGTCCCATGATGGCCTCATCAAAGGAAAACTGGACTTGATAATTACCAATGTGAGACCCTCTGATGATGGGCTGTTCGTCTGCACTGTTCAAGATGATACTGGTTATGCAGAAGCTGTGGCGGAACTGGAAGTTTCAGGTGTGTTACTGGCTCAGGTCTTACCTAGAGTTTAGCTACATTTCCATGATGTTAGTTCTGGACCATGACAACCAAGTTCAGGTTCCCCACTCTAAAGGGCAGGAAAATGATTCCTGCACCAATGCGGATGGGAAATGTGTGAGGTCTGAGGCAGATTTCATACCTGGGGTTGTCAGGAATCCTCTTTGGTCAATGTG